TTATCAGCCCCCCCAAATCCCCCGCGCCCCAAAACCGTCGGAATTTCCCCCAAAACCCAGGGAACCCCAAATTCTCAAGGATCCCGAATTCCCAGGGAACCCCAAAACCCAGGAACCCCAAATTCCCCCGGGACCCCAAAAACTCTTCAATTCCCAGGGAACCCCGAATTCCCAGGGAACCCCAAATTTCCCATCGACCCCAAATTTTTGATACTCCCCAAATTCCCAGGGAACCCCAAAATTCAGGGACCCCAAATTCCCCAGGGACCCCAAAAACTCTTCAATTCCCAGGGAACCCCAAATTCCCAAGGACCCCAAATTTCTGGGACTCCCCAAATTCCAGGGAACCCCAAATTTCTGGGACTCCCTAAATTCCCAGTGAACCCCCAAACTCAGGGAACCCCAAATTCCAGGGAACCCCAAATTTCTGTGAACCCCCAAATTCCCAGCAACCCCCAAATTTTTGGGACCCCCAAATTCCCAGCGACCCCTAAATTTTTGGGACCCCCCAAATTCCCAGGGAACCCCAAATTTTTGGGACTCCCCCAATTCCAGGGAACCCTAAAACTCAGGGAACCCCAAATTTCCCAGGGAACCCCAAATTTCCGGAGACCCCAAATTTCTGGGAACCCCAAAACTCAAGGACCCCCAAAGTCCCTCAATTTCCAGGGAACCCCAAATTTTTGGGACTCCCCAAATTCCCAGTGAACCCCAAAACTCAGGGAACCCCAAATTCCCTAGAGAATCCCAAATTTCTGGGACTCCCCAATGCCCCAGGGACCCCAAATTTTTGGGAACCCCAAATTCCAGGGAACCCCAAAACCCAGGGAACCCCAAATTCTCCAGGGACCCCAATTCTGCCTCATTTCGGGGTCCCCCTATTCCCATTTTTGGGGTCCCCATCCCCATTTTTGGGGTCCCGTTCCCATTTTTGGGCTCCCCATTCCCATTTTTGGGGTCCCCATCCCCATTTTTGGGGTCCCATTCCCATTTTGGGTCCCCATCCCCGTTTTTGGGGTGCAATTCCCGTTTTTGGGGTCCCATCCCCGTTTTTGGGGTGCAATTCCCGGTTTTTGGGGTCCCATTCCCATTTTCGGGGTCCCAT